TGTATGGTGGCAGTGTGACTTTCATGTTTTCCCCAAGGTATTTTATGGCTTCCTTTTTTTTTTTCTTTTTTTACAGGAGGGCTGTGAATGACTTTCTCTCTGTAAGTTCCAAACAGTGAAAATTCCCTAATGCTAGTCCGCTCACCCACCTTCGCAGCCTTCACCTTCTCGGCTCCCCTTCTCATCCTTTTGTGACGCCCTCCTTGCCTAGCTTCCCACTCCTCAAAGGGAAATAGACTAGCCAGGCTCTGACACCCTCAGCCCACACTGTGTTGAGGAAAGACTGCAGATCCACGCTCAGGGTTTGTTTGATGCTAGGTGGCTGCGAGTTCCAGGGATCCTTTCAACCCTTTGCTTTTCTAAAGGGAAATTCAGGTTTCAAAGCCAAGTGCAAGACAGCGGTCTGGTCCATGAGTTCCAGGTGTCCTCCCTGTAAAAAACTTGGTGATAGTTCCAAACAGAACACTCAGAAGTGTGGCTGAAAAGACACATGAGTCTTGCCAAGTGCTGCCTTTCCTGACTGGCCTGTCATTCTCAAGAGGATGGTACAGGCATCCATGTCCTGGTCAATATCTTTCTGCTATGTTTAATTCAGGGCAGTTGACATGACCCCCAAAGGGTTCTGGGCTGGGCAGTGTTATGACACCATAAGGAATAGAATTAAAGTTATGGACCGAGAGAGACGTGGGTTTGAAAAGACCCCAGCCTTCTGCAGCCTCCAACAGGAACCTTTTCTGTCGAACTAGTTCCCTCTGGTCATCCACATTGGGCTTCATCTCAGGCATCAGCTTCTCGGGTGTCTTCTCAGCCTTCTTAATCTATTCCCTGACTGTGGGCACAGTGCCGCCCCCCCCCCCAGACTCCTGTTTCTCTCTGTGACTTCCACAGCATGACCAACTGACTGTGCCCAGGAACTACTAGGCAAACTAAACCCATTCTCCTTTATGTTGCCTTTGTCAGGCCGTTTTCTCACAGCAATAGAAGATCAACTGAGACAAGGGTGGTCTAAAGTAAACTTCTGCTTGCCGAGGTAGCTTAGCTTCCAAGAACAGAGCTAGATACCCGGAAGATGTTCAGGATCGGTAATTGAATGAATAAATCTTAGCTTGTGTGTGTTTGGTTTCCAGGCCTTAGGCATGTTAGTTAGTCTCTTTGAGCCTCAGTTCCCTCTTTGGAAGATGGGAAAAATAAGATTCCAATCATTATAAGACTCTTCACAGGGGCCTGGTATGGGCACAGCATGTTCCAACAACACACACACACACACACGCACACACACACACACACACACACGCACACACAGAGTATTGATTTTTTTTGTTAAGTTTTGGTTTTTTGTTTGTTTGTTTTGTTTTTTAATTTTTCACTCCAGAGCATTGTGGAACACGTTGAATCTATGGTTTTAAAGCTTCAAACCACACCGGTTCCTTTCCCTGCCTGTTTCCTTCACACTTCCATGGTTAGGGAGGCACAAAATGGAGAAGCAGAGGAGAGAGAGTGGCTTTCTGATGCTGCCCTGGTGAGGTGACCTTGGGTAAACTTGTCCCTCCCCGTGTTCCAGCTTCCTTGTCCACATGATGGGAAGACATAGACAAATCACCATTAAGATCCCTCCCAGCTCTCACTCAGAAGCTCTGCAATAAGGGTCAAGGGTACCAGTGGCCACGGCTGTTCCCAGGACAAGATGAATGGAAACAGAAGGGTGATGTAGCATCAGAGAAGGGCAGAGCAAATTAGGCTGTTGGCCTATCTGTTTTAATCCAAGCCAAGTTTATTTTAGCGATAACAGGTGAAGACTATTTTAAAATGTATCATCCTGACAATGCCCCTTAGTACCAGCACAAGGATTTCTGGTGTACTTTTGTTCAAAAGAGCCCGAGGGCTTTGTGTGTACTGTCTCATTAATTCTCAGAGCATCTGTAAAGTTTGCATGGGAAATCACAGTGAGTTCTGTATAAATGCAGAGAGACAAAGCTTCCGAAAAGTTAAGCAGCTTTCACAAGGTCGTGTGGGAGCAGCCTTGCTCCCAGATCTGGGTTCCACCTAGCACACTCCTCTGTGACAGCTCTGCTTCCCATCTCTAGATTGTGGCCTCTCGAGCAGTCTTTTTCCTGAACTGAGATAAGTGCTCAATACCTGAAGAGGTACAGAAAGGACTTGAAGTTCTTAGACATTTTTCTGTGCCCGTTCTTCACCTAGACCAATCAATGCTCCATCTGAAGGTCCCAGGGGCATAGACCTTATGGTAGTTGCCATGGAAACAGTGTTGCGTGAGCCTCAGGCTATGGAGGCTTAAGGCTAAACTGTCATGACTGAAGGTGTGTATTTCTGGGTCACCTTCCTGGCTGCCCCAAAGGACTCTGTCTTCATTTACGAGAATGCTGGAAGCCTCTGTGATCTGATCCATCTCCTTCAGTGGTATTGAATTCAATGTCCCAGTTCTCCAAGGACATCACCGCCTCAAGGGGTTTGTGTTGCCGAGTGGTATTCCTGGCTGGCCTACAAGTCCAAGGATGGCAGTTAGGTGTTCTACCCAAATGCTATAAGACTGTGATGATGAGTCTTCACCATTAACTGGACTGGATTTGGATACTGTGACTAGTCCCCTCATGGGCCTGCCCCTGTGCCTTCCTACCTGAATGGACCCTTAGGAGCCAAACTAAACCCTATTTCCTAAAGTTTCTCCTGTCAGTCACAGCAGTCAGAGCAGTCATACACTGACCTTGCGTAGGATCCTTGTGCTCTCTGAGCCTTAATCCCTACAGCTCTACAAAAGAGGTTAACCAACAGGGTCGTTGTGAGGATCATAGAATGGCTGACTCTGGAGGGCATGCCATGGCAAATGCGCAAGTGGTTACTCTCCACTTTTCCATGCTGGAGATCCCTTCCCAAGTGTGGCCGATGCCCTCCCCCCCAGAGTTTGCTACATGATCTCAGTGGTTGCCCTGGTTACTGTCACTTCCGAGCTCAAAACAGGTCAAGAGAAGAGTCGATTGTTCTTGAGTGGTTAATAGCCTCTTGTCCAACATCCCTGGAGACGGCTGGACTCGCAGTGGGTGATTATCCCCATAACTACTCCCTTGCTCCAAACGAGAAAGGCCTTTTGTTGACGGACTTGATTTTGCAGGCTGCCCCATCTTTGTGTCACTTTCGGCACATTAGTTATTTAGTGCCTGGTAAAGCTCTCTGAGATCACAAGATGAAAGGCCTCGTGGCAGTTCAAAGTCTTTCTTTTGATTATTATTCTAGCCAACATATTTTGGGGGGGGGAGAAAATAGGTTTGAGATCGCATGGAGTGAATTTCATAGAGCAAGCCGTGGAAGCAGACCCAGAACGGGCAGTCATGGTACCCTGCTAATGGAGGCTCTTGGGTTGTGGGTGTAAGTAGGAACAGGAGGCATGCGTTATGAATCAGGTCACCTAGAAAGTGACACACTCTCCGTCGCTCTCTTGGATTAGTGAGTTGGGTAAAGCTATTTTATGCATGTATTAGATTGGGGAAAAGCTTAGAGACTAATAACAGTGTCACAGAATGTGAACAATGAAAAGGTTGTCTATTGCTGTAACAAGACACCAGGACCAAGGCAATTTATAAAGGAATACCTTTATTGGGGCTCATTGTTCAAGAGGGTGACAGTCCACGACCATCATGCCGAGCAGCCTGGTAGCAGGCAAGCAGACAGGTCTCTGGAGCAGAATCTGAGAGCTTACATCCGATCTACAAGAAGGAGGTAGTGCTGCACCTGCTCCAGGGTCACACCTCCTAATCCTTCCCAAACAGTTCTACCAATTGGGAAGGGACAAAACATTCAAATACATGAGCTGAGGAGCTGTCATTCTCATACAAGCCACCATGAAGGTCAAACATGGTGTCAGGCTTCAGATTTCCAGGCTTCGGCCATGTGTGTATAAAGTCTTTGCCATGCCTTTATAGATTAATACGCTATGTACAGGATTTCTTTTCTGGTGTATCACTAGCTATCTTTCGGCAGTAGTTAATTTTGACAATTAACTCTCTGAGAGCAGGAGCTGCGTTGTGATTTTCTTTGTGTTTGTGGCGTTCTTTAATGCCAAACCTTTTCAAGGAGTGTCTATTTTCCCGGGGCAGATGGATACGTTTCACCAGTGAGTGAACTCCAGAGTTATAAACAGGATCTCTGGGGACGGGGGAAAAGCAAGAAACATGTGTTGGAGCTGACTTTCAATGGTCCGAGAGAAAATTACGAGACTCATTTCTGCTTCAGGACTTGAGCTCCGAAGAAAGAGCATCCATGTTTCTGGCAGGATGGGAGTGGAACTTAGAGAAAGGTGAACCGGAGTGGGGGCTGCTTCCTTCCTTTCAGATTCCACCCCTGACTTTAATCGCTCCTCTCTGAATGAGCCAGCTGGAGGAAAAACGTGAAAGCAGAGTATAGAAAGCCAGATATGCATGCACCAGAGGGGTCTTTAGCAAGCAGCGAGTCCAACCCCCTCATTTCCAGCCCAGAAAAGGTGTAGGGAAGTCTGAGTCTTCAGGATAAAGAGTACATCTGCTAACCCCTTCTTTTCCTTCCTCTGAAAATCACATCTTTGCATTTTAGACTGAATTCACTGCCTGTTGCAAAACCCCATCATCACTGGTGACACTTACAGTCAGGTGACTTCACCAAGAATGTTCCTCCGGGTGAACAGGTGTGGGCCGAGCTCCATGAATACCCGAACCATTTCCTCTAGCTGCCGGTGCCCACACGAGGCCTGCCCTCTGCTTTCTTTCCCTGTAGAACTCTGCCTGCTTACTACTGTTTGAAATCTGGATGGCTATTTATTTGGCCACATTAGGCTTTGCCCTGTGTGACACAAAATCATTGTAAAATAATGCATTATTACGTGTGTTTTCAAATGAGGGGGAATAACCAGCAAGCTGTCCGTGATTGTTTTGTTGTTGGAAGGAAAATAAATAAGTAAAACGCGTACAAGGATGGCAGGAGAACTCCAAGGAGGGCTTCAAATACAGGTGCTTTGTTACAGTTTATTGATGGAAATTTGTAAAACATGGCTCATAGTGAACCTAGGGCAATCACACAAATAACTGGCACACATGCATAGCTTGTTATTTCTTCTGTTGACACAGAGGTGATAAACCCACTAGATGATGTACATTAGCTTAGATTAGTGGACATGCCACACGAAAATGAAGATCTGAAATACAGACATCACCTACTGGCCAAAATTTGGGTATTCAAGGCAGCTGACAGTCGGCCAAGTCCACAGTTAGCAACTGAATAACAGAAGAATGCCCTGGGCAAGCACTTTGATTTTTAGACATGTTTATCAATACAAGGTCTTCTTGGAATTGGAAAGGGACCAGGATTCACATTCATCTTATTTCTCCAATGGAGACAGAAGCAGAAGACATGAAGATGGAGAGAACTGGGGAGATGGTTTGTAGACGGAGGCTGCATGTTCGTTCCCAGCTGCCCAGACCTGAAATAATCATACAGAAACTGTATTAATTAAAGCACTGTTTGACCAATCACTTAGGAGTATTGCTAGCTAGCTCTTATATCTTAAATTAGCCCATTCCTATTATTTTATATTTTACCAAGAGGCTCATGGTTTACCGGAAAGCTTCCCAGGCATCTGTCCCCTCCAGGGGCTCCATGGCATCTCTCTGACTCTGCCTACTCTCTCTATATATCTTTTCCAGCCTGACTATATTCCGTTAAGCCATTGGCCAAAAGCAGCTTCTTTATTAACCAATGGCAATAAAACATATTAATAGCATACAGAGGGGAATCCCACATTGATGGTTCAGTTGAAACAAGAGCTACCTGAGCTCAGACACTTGCTTTAACCCATGAGAAAGCCAAGTATCCCTGTAACGCCAGCTTTGTGGGCACAGAGACCCACTAGCCAAATAGCCCAGCAAATTTGTGAATTTATGGTTCATTGAAGAGTCTCTGTCTCACATAATAATGTGGAGAACAACAGAAGATGCCTTTAGTATTGCTGGCCTCCAGACACACAAGTACATGTGGTGGAGCACATGTGGGCATGCACATGTACTCTCAGAATGGCATGGCTGGCATTTAAACAGTACAGCACACTCACGTCTTGGCTCATTTGGCCCTTACAAAACCCCGGGAGATCTTAGAGCATGATTTATGCATATTCTTATCATCATTTTCAGAAAGTTGATACTCCTCCAAGTATGTCCCAGCCTGAAATTAAATAGCTAATAAGTTCCAAAATTACCGATATTCTCCAGGGCCTTTCTTTCATTCATTTGACAAGTATTTGTTGAGTGTCTATTATGTACCATGTCTGGTAATAATAGTGTGTAGTTCTAGAAGTATGCAATAAGCAAATCAATATACATGATGTATGTGTGGAGGAAATAATAGAAGACGGGGGAGAATAGAGAGGATGCTGTATAGTGAGTGCTGTCTAAGGAGATACGTGGGTAGTCGCCTGGACAGAGGGAAAGGGAAGGGGTGGCCGCAGATCTCTGAGGTGAGGTGAGATATGACCCATGCGGAGCTCTGGGATAAGAGTGCCCTTGATGAGTTTGAGGAACAGCGAGGACTCCTCTAAGACTGAGCTCATGGGGAAGGGAAAATGGTGAGAAATGTAATCAGAGCATGAAGGAGGGGTCAGATCAGATGGAGTCCTTTGAAGCAAGGCTACAGAAGGAAACTTCCAGGGGTGAATTGTCAATCTAACTGATGTGGGAAGGACGGGTTGCAGGGAGACCCGCTGGGTTTCCACAGACAGCAGTAGTCAGGCTGAGAGGTGATGGGGAGAAAGACAAGAGAGCATACAGTTCCAGGAGAGCCATCACAATTTGGGGGTGAACTGACAGGAGGTGTGAGGCTGCTTCTCACCTTTTGCCCTAAGCAGCGGAGCGAGTGTGAGTATTAACTTCTGAAATCAGTTTTAGGTAAAAGGTGTCAAGATTTTGGGCTAACCCATGTTATGTCCAAAACACTTATCAGGTAAGAAAGTGCAGAACTGGCGTGGATGAGAATATATTCTGTTTTTAGATGAGTGTTTGGACCTGGAGATATGAATCTCAAAAGGGAACACAAATATCCCACAGATTTTTTTCTTTACAGTTGAGCATATTTACACACCAGGCAAAGAGAAATTCTCTAAGTGGTTCTCTAAGGAAAAAAAATATCCAAGTGTTTAATTAATATAAACATGAATGAATGTGGGTTTCTTTAAAAACCAGTCTGTCTGTTGGTCATCAAAGACTCCTCAGTAGGTCGTGGATGCCTTGAACTTCTTTGTCATTGGTCCTTGTCCATTGGCCAGGGCCACTCACTGTAACACAGTACAACGTTTAGCTACAGTATTTCCCAGGCAAGGGCTGTCAGGACCTGGAGACTTTTCTTCCTGTTCAGTCTGGGACATCTGGCAAACAGGATGAGTGGCCCCTACCACCATGTAGGAGGCACCCAAGGGCTCTGTGGCTACCATGATGTGAGAAGTCCAAGAAGCAAGGAGGCGTCAGTTGGGTCAAACATTGCACAGAGGGTCTGTAAGACCAAGACTGGGGTTGACAGTGACCTTGACTTGGAGAAGCAACACAATTGTGCTTTTTACTACATTTTAGGGAAGGTGGAAGGAAGACTGTGGAGACCAACTTCTCAAGAGATTTAGCTGCAGAGTCATGATGTTAGTGACTGAAGCGGAGTGTGGGGGTCAAGGGAGTTGTTTTGTTTCCTAAAGACGGTTCATGCTTTCTGTGGCTGAGATCAGCTTGGTATTTTGTAAAGGGGGTAAATCACAGATGCAGGAGCCAGGGATATCCATTGCAACAGCAGACTTCTCAGGGATAAGGTGAGCACCTCCAAGCAGGGGCCAATACTACTGAAGAGGATAAACCGTGCGCATCCTTCAGATAGGAGTGATGGAAGTACACCCAGGTTCTGGTTCCTGGTCGTGAGTACCTAGACTTCTGCTTCCTCAGTGAGCTACTACAGAGCAAGGCTGTTAGCTGAAGACAGGAGGGAAAGGGGGGCTCTGAAAAGCTAACGTGCAAATAACTGTGTTAGAGTGGTTTGGGTTGGTCAGGGACTATAGTGGGGTTTCTGAGCAGTCCTGGGCAATCCTGGTGGTATACTTAAGTGAGATTTATCAGCTTCATTGTGCATTCCTCTTTCCCTCCTCAGTACCACACGCAGCTACTTCAGAACAGCTGTGAAGAAGCAAGAGGCAAACTCATTCAGACAGTGGGCACAGGAATGCGACAAAGAGATGGACCGTGAATCTGAGCTGAGGACGGCAGGGGGTGGGTGATACAACGGCAAAAGAGAGCAGTGTCGAGAGCTTGGGGTCTTCACTCCATCTCAGTTCCATATAGAGCTGAAAGAGGGCTTGGGAAATCATTAGAGATGGAAAAAACCTTACAGGATTCAGTCTATAATTCCCCAGTCCAGGGGTGTTTTCTCCCTTTGTCTCCTTAGGCCAGCAGAGGCTCACTTGGACACCCAGAAGCTCGACTCCTGCCCACCCTTCTCCCTCTTTCCTTTTTCGCTCTTTATCCCCCAGAGTCCAAGACTCGTCCTGTTTTAGCCAGTAGCTTAAATCACATCTTCACAACTAGACAAACCAGATTCATTCCTGTTTATGATTAAACCTCTGTTTCTCAAGGATTGGGCCATGCCCACCTGTAACCTTCACTACAAATGGTTCCGTACTGCCTGTTCCAGGGAACAGCAACCTTGCCCGGGTTTCAAAAGTTCTTATAACTACCTTGAAACTCTGCCTTTGTTTCAAAAGGTTATGACTACCTTGTTCTGCTGCTCCTGTAGCTACCCCCCCCCAATTTGCCTGCCAGATCCCCCATTTGAAACTCCCTGCCCTCTTGAACCCTGTCTTAGGGGGAGGCAGCCTGTGTACACAAACTTTAAAAAGCTTGCTTTTATTAATTGCTTGCTTTAATTCATTTGGTTCAGTGGTCTTTCTCCTTGCATTTTTGGGATTAACACCCCCTCCCTTCTCTTAATTACATGGCTGGCTTCTCATGGCACAGTTTTTCTTTGTGCTCAAGAGCTCTCTTCCCAAAAGGAGTGAAGACAGGAAGGGGTGGGACCTCTGAAGGAAGCCATCATGCCCTTAGCCCTGCACTCTTCAGTGAGGGTTCTTTAGTCTACGTATTCTAAAGTGATGCATATTCGATTAACTAAGATTAACATTGCTCTTGTCCCAATGCATCCAATCAATTTTGGTAGGCAACTTCATTGGTGTAGGCTGTGTTCTCCTCGGCACTCACATTCTCAGGCATCAGGTTGTCCTTTTGCCTCTTCTCTCATTAGCTATTCCACCAGCTTCACCTGGCTAATCATTATGCTCACCTCCACTAGGGACCTTCTAGAGGCTCCCATGAGCCCACAGTTCTAGGAGTTCCTGTAAAGTTGGTATAAAACATCCTGCTTTCTTTCCAGTCCCCAACTCTGAGGATGCCAATTTGTTATCATTCTTGGTGGACTCTAACAATGAGTAAAGTGCTATCTGAGGAGATAAGCCACAGTGATCTTCTTGTCTCCTTATGGGTCATGACTCAGCCCTCAGGGACTTTCCTTTTCAATGCTTTCAGATAGTTTTTTTTTTTTTAAAAAAAAAAAAAAACAACAACAACCTGAATATATTAACTGGACCTCTTCCAAGCAAAAAGTCATTTGCCATTCTGTGCCCTCTCAGAGAGTCCTGAGTGCTTCCTAAACTCTATCCCACCCCCTTGATTCTTCTCATCCAGGAAGAAGTAAATACCATTCCCAAACAGAAAGGTTATGAAAAACGACATCATTGGCAAACATTGCTGAGGCTCAGTCTTGGTGTTGCTTTGGGATTGCTTCAAGTTTGGGCGAAGCTGATGGCTCAGTACGGAGTTGGCACTTTTTGTCTACACTCATTCACTGCAGAGACTTGGTTGTCATCATCTTCCCAGGCCCATCACACTGTGGCCATGCTTGGTAGTAATAGAGATAATGAATGTGTGTGTGCATGCATGCATGTGTGTGCGTGTGTGCCTCTATGTGTGAAGATTCATATGTGTATGGATACATATGTAAGAACTGTAAATGCATGTAGAGGCCAGAGACAAGCTCGGTATTCCTCAGTAGCTGCCCACCTTGTTTTCTAAAATGGGATCTCTCTCACTAGTCTGTGACTTGCTGAGTAGGTGAAGCCCCTGGGAGTCATCTGTCTCTCTCTCTCTCTCTCTCTCTCTCTCTCTCTCTCTCTCTCTCTCTCTCTCTCTCTCTGGGGACAGGTCTATAAACATGTGCCACTGTCCGGGTGTGGCAGTTTATGCCTTAAATCCCAGCAGAGAGGAGGCAGAGGCAGATAGATTTCTATAAGTATAAAGTTAGCCTGGTCTACATGGCAAGTTCCAGTCTAGCCAGGGCTGCATAGCAAAACCCTGTCTCAAAACAAAACAAAACAGAACCCAACCAAACCCAAAAGAAAACCATGCATATGCCACCATATTTGCCTGCTTTTTTGGGATAGTGGGATCTGAACTCAGGTCCTTAGGCTTGCCTATCAAGTACTTTATTGAATGAGCTATATTATAGCTTGATTAATGTTAATATTGGAGACAGTCTTCCTATACACCTATTCTGGATCCAACTTGATAATCCTCCTGCCTCAGCATCCCAAGTGCTGGCATTATAGAGTATGCTATCACTTATAGTCATATTATTGATTTTTAAGCTGTCTAACCCTAAGAGAACTCATGTAGCCTTGAGTCCCCTTGGATGAGATAGCTTCTCCCTATAGCTCACTTGCATAACTCCGGTGCCCTTACCATGCACTTCCTCTGGGCCATTTCACAGAAATGCTGGAGGACGAGGTAGCTCCCAATTCACTTCGAATTTCTGTCGACCAGATGTGAGAGGAGAGGAAAGATCTCTTCCCTGGGCACTCAGGAGTTGGTGCTTCCATGGCAGCTCTGTGGGACAGGGAGAGAGTTCATTTTTTCTTAGAAGGTACCAGTTAGAGTTTGAGGAGTATGTGGCCCCGTGGTCAGCTTTTCCGAAGCTCCCAGAGAAAGAATGGAGGATGTAACAACAGAAGACAGCTATGGGCATCCAGGCCAGAGCTTTTCAAAGTGTGTGACATAGGGTCGATTCTGAAAGGAAAGGAGAGGAGGGACGCCGCTTTCAAACCATTACATGTGGCCGGCACACTATTGACTGAGCAATCTTCCCAGCCTGAGTTTTTGTTCCTGCTGCCTTGTTTTGAAGACAGTCTGCAGTCCTGAATTACCACCGCTCCAGAAGGTGCCTAAGAGGCTGCCAGGCAGAAACTGGGGAAGGGCTTTGGTTCCTCCTCCCATTGCTGACTCCTCCCCTTTATCAGGCCCTGTGGGTGGCTTACATTATAGCTGACTGGAGCTGCAGGTCAGCTAACTCAGGGCAGAGTCTGGTCTGTGCTCTGGTCTGGATTCCCTCACTTGCCCCTTTCGTTCTCAGTTGTTGTGCCTAAAAAAAAAAATGCAGAGGGTGATGTCCAGCTCGAAACGTCACTGTGCTGTGACTGTCATGTAACAGGACTAAAGGACAGAGCAGGATTTGCACCGCGGAAAACCGCAGAAGCCCCAGCTCCCACCTTCCCCTCTTCCCTCCCCCAGCCTCACCACACATCTATCCACTGAACAACTAATTCTCCAACCCTTCCTCCTTTAACACGAAAAGCTTTGCCCACCATAAAACATTAGGAAATAGTGATGGATTTGGGGATTTTCAGGGAAGAACGGTGTATGAGCATGTGGTCTGCTCATTTGCTTTGTAGATAGATTCTAATGACTTTTCGCCACAAAACCCACTTGAGGTTCTGTTAAATAAAGAACTAATGCCACTTTGCTCTTTTCTCTCAACCCCTTTTTTCACTCATGCAAATCAGAAACATTCGTCCTCTGTGGCTCCCTGGCCTCTTGGATATGAGAAACCCATCATGCAGCGTTTTTTTCTCCCCTCCCTGAAAATAGCATAATTGTCAAGCACTCGTAACTTCTGAGTGCAATTTCAACCCTCTCATTGATAAGGCAATAACCCAAGCAAACAACATCAGATGAAGTTGCAAGCCTGAGTGTGGGGATGGAGGCAGTATTTGAAAGAGATAAATTGAAGTTCCCTATAAAGTTGCACGAATTCTTACCAGCAGAACAGATTTCGGATAGAGCTATTAGACTGAGCCATTAAGCTGCCTGGTTTCTAGTTCATCTTCCAGAGAGCCTTAGCATGGACTTCCCACAACATTCAGGCTCCTCAGATATGGCTCCGCTTGACAGAAAATGCACATCACAGTGCCACAGTCAGCTCAGTCTGTTTGTGCCCTGATTGGTCCTCTTTGGTTCATCCCTCTGCTGAGTGTCATGGAAGCCTATGATGGACTTCTGTTTGAACCGTTATCGAACGACAACTCGAAGACCCGTCCTAAGCACAAGGGTCAGTGTTCTCTCCTTTGTTTTTGTGTCCAGGTCACAGTTCTGTGGAGTCACGCCCAGGAATGCCTTCTCCTCCTGATAACTTTGTGTGGAATCTGACCTGGACAATGAAAGACTCCTTTCCTTTTCTGTCCCATCGCAGCCGATACGGTAAGTGCATGTTTGACGGTTGTCTGTGATACACGATCACTATTGTTTGGTCACAGAAAGTCTGAGATTCCATTTGTGATCGTTAGTGATTCAGGAGTCCCTCAGTCTCCTATAGCAGATCACATCCACTGTACCCTCTGTCCCTCAAGGATGCTCAAGAATACCATCAGACCATTCAACTAAGATGTTTATATTGCTTGTGAGTCCTGGAGGAAGGCAAGGGCTTTGTGGTTCCCATATTCCATCCTCCAAGCCTTCCTGGTACATGGAGTCCTGATATCCCTTCACCATTCCTTCGATGGAACATTTATTTATATCTGATTGTAGCTTTTGGATTTAAAGTTCTGACTTTAGCATCCCTATAGACCACGATTTCCTAAGAGGGGATTGTGATTAGGAGGGGCACAGGTCTTCCAGGGTCCCTTCAGTGACTCCATCATATCTGGCTAACTTCTGTTCTCAGACAGGTTATTTGACATTATCTCTGCTCACTTGATTGTGCAACAGCCTCAGAGGTCAAGAGAACGGGTCCAGTTCCAGTGTTTACAGATGCAGGAACTAATCTTCACAGTGGGCGCTCTAACCACAAAGCTGGAATTCCTTGCTTATAGTCTTCTTCTCCCAAGAGGTCACCAACTCCTTCTGTGAGCTGTTGTACTGTGAGCCCTCAGGAGGTTGACTCATTCTCAGAGCTCCAGCATGAAAGCCTGCCGTAGCTGGGGCTCTGTCATTGAAACATCAGGGTTAGAGGAGAATTGTGACTTTTGCGGGGAGCACCTTCATTTCTTCAGCTCTCTTGGTATAAGCCCCTCAAGGTCAGGTAATATGTTTATGCCCCCATTTTATTCTTTCTCTGGAAGATACTGCTAAAGGCTAATTTATGTATGATGAATGGATGCAGAAGGCTTCCTGATACAGAATTCTCTCATCAGACCTAATTCAATTAAGTATTTATGAACCCAGTACAGCGCTGAGTTCTAGATGCCCTTCTGGGCATATTTACCTATTCCTGCTTCTTAGTCTCTGCCCTTGGGCCTAACCTATTTAAAGCACGCCTAACAGAGATGTTCCACCCCCTGTAGAAACCCTCCAGTCAGAAGCCTGCCATTCCCCCCCTCCGCTATTACACAGTTAGTCTTGGCTTTTATTAATGGCACCTTTCATTTCAAATTGAAAGAAAGAAATGCATAAAACCCCCGTGGGCAGTTTGGGATTCTACTCTGAGCTGAGATGCAGCTTGCCACTCCTAAGTATCCCTACGGGGAGGGAAGACTTGATGGTTCTTTGGGAGATTCCGCAGACGGGTTGCTTCTTGATTTTATTTAAACCAGATGCACACACGAATGCCATCCTATGATAAGACCAAGTCTATGTAAGTAATTGAAAGCTGGTCCTTTGTGTGGTTGGTGCTGTCACCAAGGTCACCAGATATATAGTATAACTGGTCTTCAGATAACATTCAGAGTTCCCGCTCAGACTCATTCACTGTCTCTATAGGAAAATTTTAATGAAGTTTAGAATGTCTAAAAGTCTAGCTCATGCGTGTCATAGAAAGCAACTATTGGTTCCCTATGGAGGCCACTGAAAGAGGGAGAAAGCCATGGGGGCTTATGAGGATCCAATTAGCTACCACTTGCACTTGGTAAACCCACTTCCAATCTCGGAGCCCCGCCTTCCTGGTCAGTACATTGAAAGGCTGAGACTACTGTGGCAAAATATACATCAAGGTGTTTCTTAAGATCTCTTTCAAACTGTCCTCATGGCCCAGAACGTGATGATTTCCCTTCTTTGTTGAGTAGATTCAAACCATAAGTCAGTCAGTGTCCAAATGCTGGAGCAAGGTGTCACCATCAGCGCCATTACTAGTGCTGCTTCATGGGAGAAGCATTGGTGGCTCCTTGATGAACTATAGTGATGCTTTCCGATCCTTTCTATCTTTTGGCCGGATTTAATTCTGTGGGACTCAGGGAGACTGCATGACCTCCATCAAGACTTTCACTTCTGTCTCCATAGCTGTGTGGCTAGCCCCATGCCGGATGCTGGAGCTGATGCAAACTCGAAAGTCCAGAAGACTGGTCCCTGACCTCTCAGAGTTAATAGGCCAGATAAATAATTCTGTGGGCAGCTAATCCCTTTGCCAGCGAGTGACATTGAAGATTCACCCTGAGACCTGTCACAGAGAAAGCTAATGGCAGACCTAGGGCCAGACTGCTAGCTCCCAAGGGTGTTTTGTGGGGGTTCAGCCTACATGTCTATGAATCAAAAAGGCCAGCAGGCTCGTGGGTGATAAATCCATACCTTTCATCTGCCAGGAAAGACATTTTAAGAAATGTTAACAACTTCATTAATTTTAAGTCCTCAAACATGGGCAGAGAAATTTGACTGGAAAATTGCTGCCTGAAGGGGTAGCTCTTCAGATTGAGAGATATCATGGAGTCTTGGTCAACGTACTGAGGAACTTCACGTTCCATTGTCTGGCTTAAGCCGCATCCTGGTGGACAGGTGGGGGCAGTGAGAGCAGCATCAACAAGCCACCCGCGAGTGATGTGATTGACAGCGACAAGCCAGTCCTCTCTCAGGCAAGCTGTCCACCCTGAGTGGAGAGTGGCTTTCTTCCTGCCGGTGTTTTATGGGAAGAGACGAGGTAGAAAGAGGCTAATAAGATTTACTCACCCCCTGCCTGTAATTATCTGCTTGAGGAAAAAGTTTGACCTACCTTTTTGAAGGCTTCCAATATTTCTTCTAATTTACATCGGGGCCTTTTATGTTGTATAAAATATATTCTCTTCAGTGGCACTCAGTATCAGATTCCAGCTCTCTCTGGCCTCTGTCTTGAATGACGATAGCCCGCTAATTTTATCATGGGGAGCTGAGAGCTCCACATTCCTCTCCAAAGGCTTGGAAACAGGGAGGACATATGAAGACAGATTTTTCCTCCCCGTCTTTCCTTTTATCATTGGCTCTTAGGTCTGTGGACTTAGTAGTTATGGGCTTGGCTGAGGGATTAGCCTCTGAGTTGGAACTCAGCTACAAATGTCCTTCATCAGGGCCCCCAGGATGCTCTAAGAATACAGTCGGGCTTGCATAAGGAAGGCTGATCACCTTGGGTTCTAGAGTCACAGAGACAGATGGTGCTCTTCCTAACTTTAACTCTCTTGTTTGCCCACTCTGGAGACAAGGAATCAATGAGGTATTTTATTTTATTACCATTTGTATGCGTGTTTGTATGCACCAGTGTGTTCACGTGTGTGCAAGTGCATGTATGTGAATGTCAGAGGCCAACCTTGGTTGTCATACTTAGGAACACTGTCTACATCTTTTGAGACAGGCTCTCTCATTGGTCTGGAGCTCCCCAGATAGACTAGACTGGCTAACCCCTGGGTCCCAGTAATCCCCCTGTCACCGCCTCCCCAGCGGCGAGGGATTCTATGTATGGGCTATCATGCTGGCATTTTGATCTGGTTCTCATACTTGTGGAGCAAAACACACTACTGGCTGAGCTATACCCCAGCCCCCGGATCAATATTTCAAACAGAACGCCTGAAGATTCTTCCCCAGGTGACCGAGACAAAGGGTATTTTCATTTGTTGTTTTTCAAAACTATGGTACTTTACAAAATCTTCTCTCATGCATTTTTCTCATTTAAATGTCATTATGAAATTACAGCGGTAGGAAATTATTCTATTTTCCAGGTTTACAGAAATGTCAATGGAAAGCGGAAGGAGTTTATTCGTAGGGCTCTTAAGCTACAGAGGGGCAAACTCAAAAACCTCAGATTCTCTCATCCCATGCTGTGTGTTCTGACACATCACAAAGCTGTTTCAAATTGGGCCACAGAGCGCTCTTCCTGAATGACCCAGCGTTGGAGCTGAATGATTCGGATGATGTCTAAAACCTTGGCTATCTGTAGAACAAACATTTGATGTCTCGGAATTGAAACCATTCCTGGCAGGCTAGGCAGTTCACCTCCCAGGAAGCATGTGGGTTGTGTCACTTGGTGCTATAAACAATCTTATATACTTACTTACTTTTCCATTTTAGACTGTGGTCCTTATTATGGGTCCTATTGTGTTACCCCAAAAGATGTTCAAGTCCTAAGGCCCCAGTACCTGTGAATGAGACTTTGTTTGGCACAGTATCTTTGCAGCTGTAATCAAGTTTAAACGATGACACAGGGATTCGCTGTGCCCAGATGTCATGTGGCTTCTGGACTTATAAGTAGAGAAACCGCAGACACAGATATCCACCAGGCGAATATCCTGTGACTGAGAATTCAGAGACTGCAGCCATGCTTTGGATGCCAATGAAGACCAAGGATGCTGGCAGGAATACAAGCTAAAAGAAAGGTATGGATTGGTGCCTCCTCCAGACCTTTAAAGGCAACATGGGCCTGATTGGTGCTTGATTTCAAAGATCTGGCCCCAGATCCATGAGAGAATAACATTTTCTTATTTTAAGGAGTCCAGTTGGTCTTTGTTAAGTCATCCCTAAGAATAAAGTTCAAGCCATCATACGTCCTCCACCCCCACCAAACTCACAACAGTCTCACTAAGTGAAATATTCCTCCTGACACCTGAGCATAAGAAGACATTGTTGGCCTTTGAATAAATTTCTATTGAAACTTTGTCTTCTTTTGGGACCAGAGGGACCGATCTAATTTAGGGACTGGTGCTTTTGGAGAGAAAAATTAGACTTTTTAATTACTTTCCCTGCTACCACCACCATCT